CATGATGTAGAAATAAATAAAATTATATCCACAACTGCATCAAAGACAGAAACCCCAACAGCATCTAAGTCTCTGAGTTCTTCCTTGGATGACACTGAAGTTAAGAAGGTGATGGAAGAATGTAAGAGGCTTCAAAGTGAAGTTCAGAGGCTACGGGAGGAGAACAAGCAATTCAAGGTAATAACAGTTTATTTTCTGATAATATAGAACAGGGGCATTTTCCCTGGGATCTTGAGTGGGGAAGCTGATGAACCCCTGAATTTATAGGGGTTTTTTGTTTGTTTGTTTTTGGTATTTGCTTATTTTTCCTTCCCAGGGAGAAATTTCCATAGCTTTCATCATGTTCTCAAATTAAGAATGACTATCCCTTGAGCAGAATTTTCTCAACTATTTAAATTCTTGTCCCCTTAAAAAACAAAACAAAAAACCTCCCACATCCATTAGTATAAATTGAAAATAAATTTTGAGACTAAAACAGCAGTGTTCTGTTTTTTGGGTTCTTTTGTGAGACAGAGACTTGCTCTTTCGCTCTGGGGTAGCATGCAGTGGCATTATTGTAGCTCACTGCAACCTCAAAGTCCTGGGCTTAAGTAATCCTCCTACCTCAGTCTCCCAAGCAGCTGGGACTACAGGCACGCGCCATGACACCTGGCTAATTTTTCTATTTTTAATAGAGACGAGGTCTCGCTTTTACTCAGGCTGGTCTCAAACTCCTGAGCTGAAGTGATCCTCCTGCCTCAGCCTCCCAGAGTGCTGGAATTACGGGCATGAGCCACCCCGCCCTGGTCAGCAGTGGTTATCTTGAATATGCATTTTCAAACCCCACTCTATCCCCATTCATTTGAGTGAGAATCTCTTTTTAGAGAGTAATATACTCTGTTTTAACACAGTTCTGGTTTTTAAAGACTCTAAGTAGATCTGGGCAGTCATTGACTTATCAGACTGTCGATGTGGTGATAGGATTGGAAATGGGATGCTGTCACAGCAGATAGGAGGTGGAGATTATGGAAGAGTCGCTAGCTCACTGACAAAGCATTCGCACTGGCCTTGGAAGGTTGGCTGGTGCTGGGTGGTGAAGGGAGGCCTGTGGCGTGGAAATGACTGTATCCTGTTGGAACTAGCTCTGAGTCCATGCTAATCGTAGCACTCTTAGGCTTCCATTTGCTGAACACCTCTAAGGCCCCTTCCAACTTTAAAATAGACATGGTATTGAGGAGAACATTCCCAAACTTCACATTATAGACACTTTGTTGCAGCTTAAATTTTTAGACCTATCTGTTCTCTTCATCTTGATCATGCCACCCAAGCATGTAATAGGCTTTCACTCGTTTACTGCCATGCACCAGGCACACATAATAAATTCATATAAGTTGACTTTTCCTTCCTTTTTATTCTGACAATGAGGTAGATACAGGAGAACTGACGGAGTCTGGGAAATGGCATCGTCCTCTTCCTTTGCAGTAATCTTGATTTGCCTCATTCAGTAACTTCCTTAGTATGGAGTAAATTATGAAGCTGACACTTTACTTTTTGGCTAAAAATCTGAGCTATGCCCGAAGCTTCTCCTTGAGTATATTTCTCTTCAGAAACAGAGTTCTGTGCCGTTTAAAGTGATAAATAGATAGAAATAGCTTCTATATAAACCCAATAAAACAAATGCTGTAGTTTGCTGTGCCCTTTTTTTTTTAAGCTAATCGAACAATGCCAGTCATTTATCACTGTGCAGTGATATTGGCCATGCCCCACGAGCAGAATATCTTTAAAATATTATCAGGCCACTCTTGACATTAGAAGATTGTTTATCCTGCTAAACACTGATTTCTTGTTTTGTGTTGGTTCACTCTTTCATTTGGCCAGCAGATGTACTGAGGGTCTAGCATGTGCCCAGCACTGTGGATTCAAACATGAGCAGCCCTGCCCTTGAGAGCTCCCTCTTGCTGGGGTAGCAGGGAGAGACATAGACACAAATAATTACAACCCAGGGTGATAAATGTCCCTTGGTGATAGCAACAAATTGCAGGGAAAGTCAGCTCCATGGGCTTATCTGCCTGTTGACTCCAGGACCTGCTAGGTACTACAGTAAATACAAATGAATTGAAGGAAAAGAAGAAGAGAAAGTAGAGCTGGTGTGTGGAGTTCGGGGGACAAGTCGATGGAGCAATTAGCAAGAGATCTGGCTGTAAAGTTGAATCTGGGCCCTGGGCCATGCATTCCCCTCTTCAGGAGTGTGGGTTTGGCCTTGAGGGCATGGACGTGGCATCATAGGTCTACAGGGTGACTTGCAGGTTCCTTTTTTCTTTGTTTTTTTTTTTTTTTTGAGACAGAGTCTTGCTCTATTACCTTGGGCTAGAGTGCCGTGGCGTCAACCTTAGCTCACAGCAACCTCAAACTCCTGGGCTCAATCAGTCCTTCTGCCTCAGCCTCCCAAGTAGCTGGGACCACAGGCATGCACCACCATGCCCGGCTAATTTTTTTCTATATATTTTTAGTTGTCCAGCTAATTTCTTTCTATTTTTAGTAGAGACAGGGTCTCGCTCTTGCTCAGGCTGATCTCAAACCCCTGAGCTCAAACGATCCGCCCGCCTCGGCCTCCCAGAGTGCTAGGATTACAGGCGTGAGCCACCGTGCCCGGCGGCAGTGGCAGTGGAGGTGAAGGAAGAAAAGAGTTTCTATTCCTTACACATCCTTGTAGTTGGGGAAAATGTGGTCAGTTACCTGTGTATGTATGAGAAAGGATGTTGCTTCTTTAGTGAGAAATCTATGCATTCAGTAGAAAATATCTGAGATGAGTGTATCATTTGATCCAGCAGTCTGCATGTAACTCATCAAAACCAACTATGTACAGAGCTGTGCATTTGAAAGCTTCCAGGTGTCCCACTTTGTAGATTCTTGTGATTTGTATATTTGTACCTTGGGAAATGGCTACGACTCAAAAATCAATGACAGCTTGATTAGGGAAGCTTGTTTGTTACAGGCAGCATTAGAGGCAGGAGGAATAGAGAGTTTGGGATCGGATGAAGCAGAGCAGCTAGGAGACCTGGCCAGAAAGGTGGGGGGACGAGGGTGTAAAGGTCCCAGTTGACCCTCTTAAAAGCTTTTTTCCTCTAAGTCCTGAGGAACCAAGGAGTGGCTGCTTAGATCTGTGTCATAGAAAGGTACCTAGCAGCATCGCGTAGGATAGATGAAAGAAGAGGGGCCTCTGGCTACCGGCCCATCCCTTCCTCTGTAGGCTTCGGTTTCTCCATTTGCAAAACGAGGCTGGGCCATATCATATCATCCAAGCCTGGGCGTAAACAGCCCACCCTGTTGCGCTGTACAGTGGCTTCACCTTTCTTTCTTGTGCCTTGGATCCATTCTGAAATGTGCATTTGCTCCTGTAGGAAGAAGATGGACTTCGGAGGAGGAAGGCGGCGCAGAGCAACAGCCCCATGTCAGTGCTGGCCGTGGCTGGGAAGGAGGAGGGCCTCAGCACCCGTCTGCTTGCGCTGGTGGTCTTGTTCTTTATTGTTGGTGTAATTATTGGGAAGATTGCCTTATAGAGGCAGCATGCAAAGGATGGTAAATTGTATTCATGGATCCACCATATCATGGGATTTAAATTTATCATAACCATGTGTAAAGAGAAATTAATGTATGATGACATCTCACAGGTCTTGCCTTTAAATTACCCGTCCCTGTACACACACTACACACATACACACATGCACATATAATGTAACAATCTTTTAGAAAGTTAAAAATGTATAGTAAATGATTGGGGGAAAAAGAATAATCTTTGTTAATGATGAGGGAAACCATGATTAATGCCACAATGGCATATTGTAAGTGTCATTTTAAACATGGGTAGGCCTTGGTACACGTTGCTGGATTACCTCTCTTAAAACAAGACACTCTTCCTCTCCTGTTGGTGCTGGCCTGTGGGGAGCTGGAGCCAGTGCGGAGGGGAGTGCGGTCAGCTCCACGCAGTAGCCTCCCACGCTGCCCACACCCGCTCCAGGCTGCTTTTCCATGTCTTCAGTTTTGTCCAAGCCATCAGCTCCTTGGGACTGATGAACAGAGTCCGAAGCCAAAAAGAATTGCACTGTGGCAGCATCAGACGTGCTTGTCATGAACGAGAGGCATGTGTTGACTGATTGACCCAATACTTTGGAAATAAACGTCAGTGCTTTGTTCTCTTAAAGGGACCAAGCTAAATTCCTGTTGGTTCATGTAGTGAAATCGAACTGTAATTCAGAGATGTTTAATGCATATTTAACTTATTTAATGTATTTCATCTCATGTTTTCTTATTGTTACAAGATTACAGTGAATGCTACCCGCTACCTAACGCCAGTGCTGTCGGAAGGCCGTGGGCTCCTCTGTCTCTGGAGGTTCTGGACATGTGGAGCTGGGGTTTGTTGGAATGTTGGAGAAGAGCGATCAGGAAGTGGTTTTCAGTGTCAATAAATAACAGCTGTCATAGGGAGGGAAATTCTTAGTAGTGACAGTCAACTCTAGGTTACCCTTTTTAATGGAGAAGAGTAGTCAGTCTTCTAGATTGTTCTTTTACCACCTGTCAACTACCATGCATACTCCTAGCGCAAAGGCCCAGGTTTGGTCCTGACCTCCCCTTGGGGCCCAGGCTTGGAGTCAGGACGAATGAATGAGGCTGCAGAGGGCTAGGGGGCGGGCACCAGCAGGTGGGAGTGGGAAATGGTGAGAGAGACTCCTCAGCTGATCCAACTAGTAGTAATTGAGAGTTTGACTGTGAATTAATTTTATGCCATAAAAGACCAATCCAATTCTGTTTGACTATGTAGCATCTTAAAAAGCAAAAAAAATTACAATAAAGCCCCAAAATTAAGAGTTCTTTTGTCATTTTGTCACATTTGCTATATGGGGGGAATTATTTTATCATCTTTATTGTTTTGCCATTAGAAGGTTGATTTTAAAATGAGCCCATATATATGCTTAATGATTTAACTATACACATATGTGTGTGTGTGTGTGTGTGTGTATTTTTTTGGGTGGGATTGGCTTTGAGAGTACGAAAAATAAAACTGAAAATGCAAGCCCCTGGTCACCTCTGGCCTTCCATTGCTTTGGCCTGCAGTAAAAAGCAGCCTCCCTTCTGGGTCAGGGAACCATGCCAGAGACTAGTGACAGCTGTGCTTGGTGTGACCCCAGTGTGTGCACAGGTTTGAGAGGACAAGTTCATCAAAAGGAAAACGGTTCTAAGACACATACCTCGAGCCACACTGCTCCTGAGCCTGGCTTTGGCAGCTGGGTCAGGGGCCTTGACACCGGCAAAGTGGAAGTCTGTGATTGGTCTGAGTAAGTAACTTCTATCTTCACGAAGAGACGTTGACTATAAATCCCAGGGATCTAACCCAGACATCGATGGCTGGGACTGTGTCGAGCATGCAGGCAGGGAGGCCATCCAGTTACACATTTGTCTCCAAGACCTTTTCCGTGTGGCCCCAAGTACTTACGAAAGGGAGTGAGAGGACTGCGCTCTAAGGCACATGCCTTCTGCACCTGGTTTTCTTAGTGGACTCACTTGCCGATTTCTAATTTGCCCTGCGGCAAATTGGTCTTTTTGTAGCTCCCAGTGCCTCATGGTCTTGAAAGGAGAGTGATTAGAGGTCCTCAAACAGCACCTTGGGGTGCACTACAATCCCATCATGCTAGAGCAGGGGTCTGTTTTTTCTTAAAGGATGTGGCTGTGTGTTCCAATAAAACAAAACAGCTTGTGGGGTTTGGCCTACGAGTCTATGACAGTTCTTAAAAAATTGAGTGCCCGGGAAACTACTCTGTTTTAGGTCTTTGTAGGTGATTTAGGGTTTTGTGTATATCTAGGAGAAGGTGTGCAGCTTCTCAGAGGTTGTAGACATTTTGGTTGTAGCTAAAATTCAATTTTTAAAATCCACTTGTTTCTTCCTTCTATCTAATCATCCTCTGAAGTCTCTTTGCCTTCTAGAGATTAGGATGTGGTGAACACATGTTCGTTGGTGGGGCTTTTTGACTGAGTGGAAGAAGGAAACTCCCCAGGGAGAGAAGTAAGGCATTGGTGGGATGGTTGTTATTTTCTAATCAGCCTGATTAGGAAAGAACGTGCCAGAAAAAGACAGTATGTGTGAAGTGAGCAAGCACTGCTCCCTCAAGAGAACATGGAGGTACACACACATTTTGAGTATCTTTTCTAGGATAACAGAAGGGGAAAAAATGAGAGTAAGGCAAAGAGGAGGTGACTGTGAGGCTCTGTCACAATGGTCTACTGTGCCCTCGGGCTGAGAGTCAGATGGTTGGGAATAACCTGGCCGGGAAAGAGCGAGGTTGCCGGCCGGGAAGGGGGCCTGGAGGGTCGCGGGCAGGCTGCCCTCGCGCCTGCTCCCGGGCGCCCCAACACTCCCGAGGGCTGCCCTGGCTTTAGAAATACCCACCATAGTGCTCACAACTACAGAAGAGGTGGAAGGAATAACAAAGTCTCTTAAATTTTTATTGATTGAATTTTTAAATTGATAATTTAAGCTTTCTTGGCATGATGCAAAATACCACTTAAAGACAGCAGGCTGTATTATTTGTAGGTGCGAGGAACTGGCTTTAATTTTTTTCTCCTAGTTTGCATGTTTTCCCGCTCCAGTCTTCTAAACTGCTGGCACCAGCAGTAATAAATACTGATAAAATCAAAATTGATTTTTACCAGTGGACAGTTTATGCCTAGAGAGACAGCTTATACCCACATAACACAGAAGGGGGAAAAATGAAGAACCTCCAGTGATCCGTGAAAACCTAAATGCTTTCAAACAAATCCCAGGAACAGAATTGCTATCGAAAGATATCAGTGCCCAGCTTGCAGGCTGTGTTGAGTCAGATATAACTGAATGCAATGAGAGTGCAGAGCTAAATAGCCTTTCAAATTAATTTGGAAACAAGCTGTGTGTGTGTGTGTGTGTGTGTAGCATGTGTACCATATGTTAAGTAGCTTGACAGTTTTCAAATGGTGCCTATATTTTTTGCATACACAAATCTTCGTAAACTCAGAATCCATGCCAGAATACAATGCTATTTTTCGTTTTCAGCTCCTTCCCTAAAGAACTGGCCCATGTACACATTTCTGGCTATGGTTTGTGAATTCTTGGTTTAAAAAAATATGTCAAGAGATAGGGGTATCGGGCTTGCCAGTCACTTTGAACACCTGAATAACAGTTTAACCTCCAAGACCTTCTCAGTGGCGACACCACTGCCTCCCCCTGCTGGAGATGGCAGTTCACTGAAGGGCGTCTGGCTGCGGTGTCCCCCGCCTCTCCTGTTGAGCCGGAAGAGGGAAGAGAACTAAGTAAAAGTATGCGATTAATCAGAAGTTACCAACTCCGAGGAGACCTGTCTTAGTTAGGCTTGGGCCGTGTCCGCTCTTGCTGGGAATGCGTGCTCTCAAAGGTGAGTGGGAATGGAATTCTATTTAGAAAGTCGCCTGGAAAGTGTAGATGGGTGACTCCAGGTCATGGCACACAAACCGCGTAAGGCCGGCAATCACTCTTCCGTGACATAAAAGGCAGCTTGGAGTCACGTGTTCCTTATGTGCATTGGGTCTCTCAGGGTTTCTGTGGGCCGGTTGGATTTGGAGAAGGCTTTTTACCCCCTTCCTCAGCGGAGCTGCTCGGATAGGAACCTTTTAGAGGACGTTGCTGTTGTTTCGATGCCTCTCTCTACCCGTGCAGAGCATTTCCAATACGTTTGGTCGGTGGACTTAATCATTACAACCACTGTGACCTGGGGTCGATGGCGCTGTTTTTTTACACATAAGGAAATGAAGGCTCCAGGAGGTTAAATTGGGCGGCCTTTTAGAACATCTCGTTTAGAACTAAATCAGTCTGTGTGAAGGCTGAGAAGGCCCTGTTTCAACTCTGAAAATCGCTCAAGGAGCCTCGTGAACTGCCCCCAGCTCCTCCGCCCACCTGTACCCCTTCAGTGCCTGCCCGTGCGCCCCATCCAGGTATTTTCACGCTCAAGTAGGTAGACTCAGGACTATAGTTCAGATGCTTTTGCTTTTGGAAACTGAACACACTCCAGACAGTGAGGAAATGTGTATTTTCCATTTTCTCGTTGCCTAAAGATGTCTGCGCGATGCTCCTGGGGAATGAATTTGGGGGCTTTAGAAAGAAAATTACCAGTCTGTCTCAGCGAGGTGATGATGGAAATGCTTTATATGGAGGCTTTACATAACTTGTAAATTAAATGTGAACGAGGGCAGTTCATTAAAATTGGTATCACAGAAGTGGCCCGCCGAGGTTTGCGAACAAGCCAGGCTGCTGGTATTTCAGGCCTCTCCCTGAATTAGCGCCACATTTCTTCAAGAAATCAGAAGGGAGCAAGCGATAGAAGAAAGACCCTGATAAAGAGTGTCAGCTGAGAGGCGCCTGGGCCGCTGCGAGCACGGATCTGCGGCGAAGCTCGCGGGCCTCTGACTCTGGCCCCCGAATCCCATTAGCCGTGAGCTTAGCACTGAGGCTCGGCCGCCGAGAACGTTAGTTGGGGTGCATGAGCTCACACACCCCTGTGCCGGGGGACCCAGACCTCCCTCTGTGGGATGTTTTTAGTTGTATCTATGGCACTTAACAATAGAGCTTTCATTTTACTTTATTTTCATTACAGAGATATTTTGAAAAATTTAAAAGACGCGAACTCACATCAACAGTTATGTATAATAGTTAAAAAGGAAACTGGTGGAGGTGGATGAGAGGTTGTCTTGGATGAATATAATTACTTGATTTTTTACTTAATGGAATTAATTCATTAGAAAATGTCTGCATCCAATCTGTGGAAAAGGAAGAAAAATCTAGCAACAAAAATATAGCTATTATCTAACTTGCCATAAATATTTGCAATTATGATACCTTGGAATGTTGCCACGATATGGATTGCTTTGATTAAAAGATGTCAGTTGAATGAAACAGTAATGTGGGAGAATTGTTTTCTGCTGCTAGATAAATGCTGATGTTTATTTTTAAACCAGGAAACATTGATCCTGTAACAATGCCCTATTACAATTGCTTTATTACACCACAGGGCTGATGCAGATTTAATCATTCGGCTAATGGACGTGGGTGCGGGACGGATGCTCGCTCTGTGTGCTGCTCCCCTGCCTGCATTCTGATGAGCGAGGCGGCTTCTGCAGGTGGAATGGCTGCTGGCGGGTTCCTTTCTCTGATACCCCAGCCAGCTCTGGCCAAAATAAAACAGGTTACCTTTTACTTTTTGTTTCCCTTCAGAAAGGCACCGAATAAGGGAGACAAATCAGATATCATAACGCAATTTCATTAAGGTTTAGTGCTAACACGAATGCTGAGCTATTTATGATCTAAGAAGATAATAAATTGGTGTGCATGTTTCACATGCCGACTTGCCGGTTTTCCACGTAGTAGAAAAAAGGCCTGGTTCTTTTTATGAACTGGCTGCCTGCATTCCCATCTTTCTTTTGTTTTTTTAGAAGTCGACTGGATTCAGCTGTTAATCCTCTAGTGCAGCATTCATTGAATTTTTTTTTCCAGTGAATCTTTTACATGGATTCAAAGGTCAGAATTTATCGTCTCTAATACTAAGACCGTGTATGTAAGAACTGCTTTTGCTTTTCATCATCCCCTCACTCATGTAGCAAACATTCAGTAAGCACCTTCTATATGTTACATACTGTATGAGGTGCTGAGAAAATCAATGGGAGTGATTTTGTTTTTGTTTTTCATTCTTATGTAGCCTAAGTAAGATGACTCAAGCTTATACATAGAGAGAAAATGCAAAAATACATTTGGTTCTCATATCTGTTGCTGGCATTTACTTTTTAAAGACAATTTATAAACTGCTGTC